GATGGGTAGATAAGACAATGATATGTGATTGGAACAGTTAGTACAGAAAGCAAATTGCAAGTTCCTCTGTTGGGGCCTAGTTAAAAATATGCAAACATTCATACCTGTGGGCTGACAGTTTAATAACATTAAAAGCATGGAGCAGAGAAAGGACATTTACCACATCTCCCCGATGTCTTGAGGTACTCTGATCACCAGCCTCCTTTTTATGCCATGACGTTATTTCCGTAGGGTCCCCCACAAAGTTATTGTTTGGACTTGCGCAGATGTAGCCATTTATCTCATTGGGCTCATCAGCTGAAGTCAAACCAAGAGAATGGTTATACCGTGGTTTACCACGTTCGGGTAGTTGGGGTTGAGAATGTTGATAAGCCAGTGCAGAGAGAACACAACTATTGTTCGTTGAAGTTGAGTGATCCTTATGGATATCGGCAGACTGATTATCAGTTGATAGAGGAGATAAAGGCACTGAATCCACAATCTGCTCCTTCCTCTTCTCTTCATTAATATCATGCTCACCTTGATTGCTGCAAGATGCTACAGGTGTTTGCAATCCAACAGACCCAAGCTCAGTATTGGAGAACCAACCATACCTGCAGGGAAATATTGCGACTCGTTTTATGATATTTACTAATATAGTGTGTGACATTATATTTGAGTTGAAAAGAAGTAGGAACCTTAAACGGAAAACTGGAGGGCATCCAATCGTTGCATATACATCTGCCGCACTGACAATTGAGTCTTGCGTCCATCTAGGATAACCCATCAGGTTATCCCTCTGGACACTGTAATGGAACAGGGTTAGCTCTCCTGATGCTACATTCGAATTTCCCCATTTGCGATTTAGATGATCCAAAACTGATGATATCTTTTTCCGAGTACTAAGAGTGAGTTCCAAGTATGGATTATGTTTATCCTGTGAAACCATAATAACCCAAATTTTGATCACACTCTGAAAAGTGTTCAAGTGATAAAACTTTATTTCAAAACAAATTTGAAAATATAAGTTATGACAATGCTCACATTTTCCAAGGCTCTTCTAGTACCATCGTCAATTGGGAACAACTGGAGCTTAAGTTTCATACAATTGTTTGTGCCGCTCTCTGTATCAATATTTTGTACGAAAGCGGGCATAGGTGGCAGAACTTTTCCAACAGGAACAGCGCTACTTTGCCCTGAAAATTAAAATGGAAAGAACCATGGCATTAATAAATTTTCCCCAACTGGCTTGAGTCTAATCCACTCAAGAAAAAATAACCAAGAACTGGCAAGGAAATGATTCACCTGCAGCACTTCTGTCTTGCTCAACTTCTTTATCAGTTATTGCCCGCTCTAGGTGCTCAGCAGCATCAGCAACCAAAGAAACCCCAGCAATTGCAGCCTTTTCCCACTTTTTATATGCTGCTGACGAGAGAGCACCTGCTAATAATACATTAGCAACCAGACCAATACCAAATTTCCTGAAAGCGGCACTAGCATTGAGAATACGTGAATTCAGGGATGAAAACATCGGCGATACAGATATAATCGGGCCTTCAATTTACGGATATTTCGGGGGATATATAAATGTCGTTTTAGGTATCGTGGAAAATCAACAAAAAAGACAGATAATTGCTTTAAAACACAGAATTTTGAAGTGAAACTTTCATAGATATTAAGCACATTA